ATTTGACTGATTCAATATTCAAATTATCTGAATTTAAAATCAGATTTTCGAATACCATTAACACTCCTATTCTTAGGAGCATATTCAAGTTAAAAAAAGGATATGTTGGGTTTGGAAGAAAGATAAATCTTATTTCCTACCCATGATTTCCATCGAACCAAATAACAAAGATGCGCCAAAAAACATGGGGCATTTTGAGAATTTAACTCGGGACCCCTCATCATCTCACCACCTTTTGTGAAAATCGTTGATACTACACAGCATATAGCTAGCCTGACAGAACCAATTGATTTGTGTATTGGATTACAAATTGAGAGGAATCAAAACACCAAATAACTCTCAAGATGGAAGTTATTCCATAGATGTTGTATTCATGCCTGTTCGAAATGCGAATCATAGTATTCATTCTTATGGGAATGGGAATGAGAAAHAAGAGATACTTTTTCTCGAAATATGGACGAATGGGAGTTTAACTCCTAAAGAARCACTTCACGAAGCCTCCCGGAATTTGATTGATTTATTTATACATTTTCTAGAAGAAGAGGACATGCAATTAGAGGACAATCAAAACAATGTTACTTTACCTTTACCCTAAGCGAGAATCATACCACTAGACCAAATGCCCGTTAGTCGCACGTTTTGCTCTTAATATAGTATTTCTGTTGTGTGATTTAATTATAAGCCTCCCTCTTTATCAGCATATATCCAAACCATTTCTTTCATGTCCCATGAAACCTCCCCATACTTATCCAAATTTCTGCCTTTTGACATTTTAATTAAACCATACAAACAGACCACGGCCTTGATTTTGACATAGAGGGAGACAATAAAATTATTGTTATGCCTCCTATTACATTTTCGGTTGAAAAAACAAGCACAAAATTTAATATACCAATTTTTACTCAAATTGGAAGAAATAGATCCCAATTACCCTCTCCAAACTCATAGAACCACTCAAAATCCTTTGTTTTATTGTTTGGAATTCCATGTTTGTAATGAAAGTTCAGTTTGAAAGAGCACAAATACAAATATGTAGAATATAAATCCTTGTATTTTGTATTATTTTATGTGTATACACAAAACATCCAGGGTGTAAAAAATTTACCCTTCATTTGTATATATGATATCTAAATGATAATATTAAACCGACTATAACCCATACATAGACTTCAATTTGGCCATACATATTTGCCAATAAAATTCGTTGAGCCTCACTTGGAGGATATTCAAAGCACTACCAATGATCAGGTACGTAATAAAACTACTATATTAGTTGATGTTAGAACCTTTTCCCTCATTTATCATAAAAAAAAGGAATGGATTTGATTTAGCTTGACCTAAATAGGAATGTCATAAACTCCTTTTACCTTAAATATACTTGACAAAGCCCTGATGCACGGTCCCAACTAGTTTAACATATATATATTTGCCCAAGGGGTAGGCCTAGGACTGATCAAAAAATTAAGAAAGGTCAAACTTTTAAGCCCACACCAATCCTAAGGATAAAAATCCAAGCCTAACCCGAATAAAATTGCAAGTTGGGTCAGTCTGGGCTTGGGGTGGACCTACACCAAATTTCACCCATAAAGAGAATGGAAGTGTGGAACCAAATTGCCTTAGCATAATCAGTATCTACCTACAACAATTATACCCACACCTATCCACAAGACACTACAACTATGCAAAGAATTTCTCCCATGTATGACAACATATAAGTACAGGATATGCTCTCATTTGTGCGGCTACGATGTCACACGGGTGTGATGTAGGGGAGCAATTTGGGTTGGCCCAACAGCCCAAGTCTTGTTTTGGCTGTTGGGCATGACATTTTGGGCTTCGAGTTGTGCAAGAGTAAGAAAAACTAAAAGCATTGACCTGAACTCGAGAGTTAAGCTTGGGTTGAGGTATTGTGTAACATTAGCCTATCCGAAGAAATACACATTTTCGTTATATATATATATATATATATATATATATATGTATAAATTTATCACTTATGCATATAATTATTTTATTTTTAAGCTGGAAATTTAAAGCAAATTTTTTAAACTATAATTATAGTTTATCTAATTGATTAACTCTATCCTTATTGTTTACATATTGTCTTAAAGTACTCTTAAGTTTTCTAACAATTGCCTAAAACCTCCCTTGCTTAATTTTCTATCACACTTCGTTCATAAGTGACATCACGTGTCTAATATATTTTTTAAAATTCCTAAAGTACTAATTTATGGTTCCACTCTGATGATGCGCAAGATAGTGCTCCCTGTTGGCGGACAACTCGGACGTCAGACTAATTAGGTCGCCTAGTCGAGCTGTAAAAAAAAATAATAATACTATCCAAGTTGCTTTACCAAGGGCGAGCACTCTGATGCTTAAGTTAGCGAATTAGAGATAAAATTGCTATAATGCAAGAGAACTAGAGTGCTCAAGAGTTAAATCACACCTACCTTTCCTGAAGAAGGGGGCGCCTTTATATAGGCAAGTTGTCATACCGCTCACGAAGCATGCCTGAGATCTCTGACCCACCTAGTTCGAAGGTGGTTTCACACCCGTAGGTGGACTCCGCGGAAGTGGGTAGTGTTTATCCAATAGCGCCCAAAACGGACGGGGTGATAACTGGCTCTTCCAACATGGCGTTGTGATCCCGGGGAAGTCGGAGATGATAAACCGCTTAATGAAGTTATTCGGCATGTTAGGCAGGCCACTAACCAAACTCAGGTCAAGTTGGTAGAAGCAGGTCACCTCTCAAGTTGACCTGTTGACTTGCCGAGCTGGTTCTTAGTTCGGCTGTCGAGATGGTGCCAAGGTCGTCAAGCTGGTTCAGGTTGTTAAGGGTGCTTTCGTGACTTGCTTGCGTGATGTTAAGACATCACCTGATTGTGTCGTGGCGCCACACGTGTCCTCATATCATTAGAAGGCCAAATCGCCCCTCATCACACTCCAACTCAATCTCTCATTCTCCGTCTTTGACTCCATCTCCAACTCCATTTCTCATTCCATCTCCAATTTCATCTCTATATCTATCTCCGTCTCGTAGATGACCTCCATCTCCATCTCCATGCAGTGAAGAATAGCGCCCGTTGTAGAAAAAATGCCCATTAAAGAATGGCCAGGTCTATGCAAATTTCTTGTTGTGGTTTAAGTAGATAGTGATAGAGGGTATGGATGTTATCTTGTAGAGTCAGCTTCATCTGAGATTCAGAGTAAGAAGATTTCATTTTGTAACTGCAATCTGCAACTCAAAGTTCAGATTAAACTTTGTTTATATCTATGAGTTTTTTCTTTTAAATTGTAATGGCGTACAAGAAAACAAAAGAACAAAAGGAAAAGGGAAATTTTTAATGAAAATTTCAGCTTTCGAAAAATAAAACATGGGATGTTAGTATGAATCTGTGGCGTGGTGCTGAATTTGATGACATAAACCAGTGGTAAAATTCCTGCTGTTGGCTCTCAGAGCCCCGGCGCCTTTGAGTATCTGGTAGAATACGGTTCTGAAATTTCAGCTGTTGAAATCTCATCGCCTTTTCCGCCTAAGGTAATATTTCTGTTGTTGGTTCTCAGAGAGATAGAGCCCCGGCGCCTTCGAGTATCTACTAGATTACGGTGTCTTTTGCATCTCCCAAGCCTTTTGCTAAAACATCCAAGGCCCTGCAGATGTTGGCATTCAAAGCGTTTACTTCTATTCTGGTATTAGCCAGCAAAAACCTGATGGTCTGCAGTCTGCACAATTCACATTATCTGGATTAATTAACACAAGTTCATCAAAGACAACGAGTGGCATAATAGTTACATGGATTTGCTTTTCCCAACAAAAATATTAATAGATTCATCCTCCATCGCCGGCTCCGACTCTGGAAGACTTGAATTGGTGTTGGAATTCAAGATGATTTTAAGGCATGTAGGGTGCTTGGAGTGTATTGCTCCGCTATCATTACTGCCGTCACTGCGTAGAACACAGTCAGAGTTCAGGTTTAATTCTAAATTTGCTCGTCACTTTATTCACAATCCCTTTATAAAATAAAAAAAAATGCAACGGTCAGTTGCAACTACATTGTAGAGGAGAGGGTTGAGAGTGGTCTTTGGTGAGGGGAACAAGTTACGATAAAATATTCCTGCGGATTGAGAGCATTTGGTAGTTAGTTACAACGACGGATTGAGCATAGCAGAACTTTTGAGTTTTACTTTGACATAATCCTACCTTTTCTTCAGCCTGGACAAGAGGTGATCAGTACCAAAATCCCCACAACATTTCATCTAAATATTTTTATCAGTTGCATTTTATTTTGAAAATTTGAGAAATAATAGAGGGTAAATTTGATATTTCGTTTTTTCAGTAAAGTAATTGTCAAAAATTAAGACTACTTTAACACAATATATAAACAATAAAAGTAGAGTAAGTCAAATAGCTAAATTATAAGGATAATTCAAGAAATTTGCCCAAAATTTAGTCTATAAAATCTTTTAAATCCATCCAACCCACATAACCCGTCCCAACCCAATCTAAACCTGAATCCAACCTGAGTTGTATTCGATTAAACTCGGATTATATCTGAGTTGTATAGTCTTATTTTATTAAACTCTAATTAGGTATGAGTTGGTAAACTCGGACTTAACCTTGGTTCAACCAGTTTCGAGCCCTAAATTTGTGTCTTCAGGTTTGACTTGGGTTAATTGACCCTTCATTGTGATGATTTTCAAACCTAAGGTTTATGGGTATCAACATCAACTAAAGACCTATGAAGCTGGATCTATTCCACACATATCACATATCACACCTCACACCAATCTATTTTATTGAATAGAAAAATCAAGGATTTGAGATTATTCATTTTTTTATAAATTAGATGACACTGTAAGGGCCACTTAACAATTAGTTAATGAACTGATTAAATACAAGTACTGGATTGACACATTTTAAAAATTCAAATACTGAATTGTCCCATTTTAAAATTTAGGGACTAACACAAAATTTAGGGACTATATATAATAGAGATGCAGAGTATCGATTTCGGTACCTCTCGCATGCTAAGCGAACGCTCTACCAAGGGTTAAGGGTTTAACCCTCCTCATTTGTCATCGCAGTCTCCTTGCCTGAATCTGTTTTTTTCTATGTCCGGTGATGGCGAAATCTGCAGCCTTTCACCTGCTACGTTCCCAAACCAAACAGCTTACGTCGAAAAACTTTCAAGCAGGTTATTTTTCTTATCCCCTTGTTTATTTCTTATTCACGGTATCCATAAGATTTCTAGTTTGGAGTTCGTACTTCTCACTGAAACTGTCAACTGCAGTGTAGAATTTTAACTCCTTAAAGGTTTAATTCTTAGAATATGTTAAAGAGATCGATCAGAACTGTCAACAGGCTTACTAAATTTGTAGTTAATTATATTCGTAAGATCAAAACTATAAATGGGATCCGAAAGTGATTCGGAGTAGGTTTTGTCGATGGCTTTCTATTATTTTTATCATTTTCCCCCTTTTTTCTTTCTGGCGTCCAGATTAACTAATATCAGTTGTCAATTTCTCGCTTAGATGCTATGGATATTTAGTCCTGAACTTCAAGTACGAATCATAAAATTTGTTAAAGTAGGAAGCATTTTCTTCGTAGATATTATCTGTACTTTTTTTACTGGAGATTATTTATATCATTATTCTTATTTTTTAGCTATACTTTTGTTCGTTGACTAAGAAATTTGTTATGTGAATCTTAGCAATACGAGCATTTCTTTCTTCCCAAATACACAGTGTCGTTGCTCTAAGGCACCTGCATAGGATTTTGTCTCTCTTCCTTCAAGGGGAGAAGAACGAGGCATCAAACAACTATTTTAGATCACTGGGAGGTGACAACTTGCATCCAAACAATGAAAAAAACTTCTCCCAAATAGCAGATACAAAGCTGGAGGAGATTAGTAGATGAAAAGAATTTTAGTTTTACACGTATAACAAACATGAGTTAAACACCAAGGAGCAAGGAGGCCTTCCGTTTACAAATTCTCAATAGCATTGATTTTATCATGATAAACCTCCTAACAGAAAACTCTAAACAGTGGTGCCGGACCTCTCCAGATGGCTTTCACAAGGAAACTAGGTCTAATAGTGGGTTCAGCAGACAGCCCGGAAAAAAAGGGCACACAAGTAAAAGAACCAGAATAACAAAAGGTCCAAACTCTCGCATCAGGCTTGAGTGAGTCCAAGAAAATACTCTCTGGAGGATCAAGGAGAACCGCTACCTCCAGTAGTTCACTCTCTCTAACACCTCATCTCTCAAACCCAAGTCCCCAGACAAACCCAAAGATGAGAAAGAAATGCAATCAACAATAAGACACTCGGGCCAAGAAGAGAGGGAGCACAGAGAAGGAAATCTATCTTTGAAGTGAAGAAATAACTAGAATCTGGTTTTATTGCCAAAAGAGGGCATCATACCTGATGAAGTGAAGAAATAAAGGGGATAAGGAAGCAATGGACGCTTTCAATGGGTGGAGAGGGTCGCTCTTACCTTCATGTTCACTTCCCAGCTAGGGGTGATCATTTTGATCCTAGCACAGAAAGCTGGCCTGGAAATTGTGGGCTTAGGCCTGGGCCCAACACTTCAGGCCCAATTCACAATATAGTATACTTTATATATAATGTAATAAAATATAAATGTGCATTATAAATGAGAAAAAATTTCACTGCCGCATACATTTAAACTATGTTTTTGGTAAGTTTTCTTTAGAAACCCCAAAGGATTTTTTTTCTCTCGCTTTCATCTCTCATACCTACCCCATCCCACACACACACTTAAATATACTTAAATAGTCTAGCTGGTTGATTCAAATTAATGATATGATACTATTCGGTTGAAGATAAAATTGATTCATCTATTGTGATTTTTTATTATTTACCTATCTACTCATACTCATAGTTAAACTGGTTGTTTGACATCCCCTGCAATGAGACTATGAGAGTACATAGTTTCGAACTTGTGGATATATGGTTAAGCTCTACATTGTGTTTGTGGTTCTGGTTTGCTCCCTATTGGTAACTTTGTCTTAGTCAGGCAACAGTCCATAATTTCCAACTTAAAAATCTGACATCTCCTCTGGTAGCTTCATAGTCAGCGGCTGCTTCATGCCCAAGTAATTATTACAACCCTAACAAAGGTAAGCTTAAATAATCCAACTGGGTGATTTAAAAGAAGATATGTTATTGTTAGGTCAATAATGAAACGGATTCATCTATAGTGAATTTTTTGGTATTTACCTCATAGGGTACCAATCTGCTCATAGTCATGTTTGTTGTAACTTGTAATGCATCCCTTCAATGAGACAGCACCAGTTCAAACTTGTGCATCTCGTCTCGGATTGGATCTGGTGACCCCAGTGTTTGAACAGAGTAGCAGTCGAGATTTGGGGGAGATCTAGTGGAATGTATTTGTTTTTCAGATTTGTAGTAGTTTCCAGTTTGTTTTTGTTGGTTTTTAGCTGCTTTGTATCTTTATTTCTTTTAATAAAATTTCTTTTATTACTCTTCAAGAAAAAGAACTTGTGCATGTGTATGGACAGGATGAATTTCTTTTATTAAAAAAGAGTCTTGCTACCCAAAAGGACAGCAGATACAACACAAAACGGTATCAAGCTGACCATCAAAATTTAATTTTAGTCATCTGGATTCTGGACAATTATAATTCTCAATTTTCTGGTGTTGCCTTCTAGAGAAGACTTCTACCATAATTGGCCATCCTCTCAAATTCATTTATTGTGACCCCTTTAAAGTCAGCACTAACCAGGGCTCAATATGCTATTTTATCAGCTCAATCAAGGTTTGTAAGTTATGTATTCTCTCCCCAGATATTCTTGTATTCTTCTCACCCCAAATGCACCATAAAATAGCATTTCTAATGTAGTGCCACAAAACCTACATTCTTTATGTTTGAGACCACTTACCACGCCATTATCTCAATTAATCATTTATTGTAACCCCTTTAAGTTCATCAAAGCATGGCCCATTTCTGCTATTTTTGTTTCTATCAACCCAATCAAGGTGATTTGTGCTTTCACATGTATTAATGATTTGAATATCTGGCTCCCAGGCAGAAAACGTTTACTTCTGTGGGGGATGGCCCAGCCCAAACAGCCTTGATAGGAAAAGTAGTAGGGAAGGAAAAACTTGGCGAAGTGTTTAAAAGAACAAGTGAAAATATCACTGGAGTTTGGGGCCCACACCCACCCATCCTTATTAGAAGGGGATAGCACTACATTGTTTAGGATATTAAGAAGGTTAATGCCTGGGCCAGGCATGTAAAGGCCCGGTCATGCCCGGCCTGGCATTTGTTATGCAGTGTATTTTATGCAATTTATACTGTACTTTGGTGTGGTAATTTAGCAGCTGAAGTGCCTAGCTATATAGTTTAGAATATCTAGTTTCTTGTGATTTTAGAACTTAGAGTCCTTTAAATTGAATATTGTATGGCTATGGCGTGACTTGGCTGGACTAGAAGTTAACACGTAGCAACAACCTAATCCTAGTAACTGTATGTCTCATATATTTTAACCACATTTAAGCACACCAAGCTTTGAAAAGGTGTGCGCTTAGTGTGCCTAGGTGTGCATCTTGCCCCTTAACTCAGGCATGCACCTTTGTTGAATTTTGTTTTTTTTTTTTCTGCTTTTTGAAGCATGGTGGCTGGGCCAGATCTATGACCAAAGCTCTGAAAACCCCCTATTTGCTATTCTTGCTCGTTCATTCTTCATAATAAACAAATATTTTTAAAAGATAATTAAAATTATATAACCATTTTTTGTAGGAATTAAGAATTTAAGACCCTAATGTGAACTTGTTTGGGCTTGCTTCAAGGAGATTGGTACTAAGGCAATTTGTAGAATTAAGAATGAAAAATGTTTAAGATCACATTAGCTATTTGAAATAATGCAATTGGGAAAGAAATAAAGAATTTGAAAGTTTGACATGCTTATATGTTTTATATGCTATCCTTGGTTTTATTCTTCCATTTTGACTTTGAATATGTTTTATATGTTATGTTTATGCATGTTAATTTGAACTAATAAGCTTTCTAAAACATTTAGTTTAAAACTAAAATTTGCATTTTTTATCTAATACTGATTTTAATATTCTCTTAATTTATTTTGAAATTTTTACAATTTTTTGTTTTTTGTTTTATTTATGTGTCCTGCCTTGTGCCTCAGGCACAAAATGCCCTTTGCACTATTTTTGTGCCTTGCGCTTTTAAAATACTGGGACAGGCCCAACTTTCATATTTGCACTTTTGGGAATCTACGACTGTCAAGAATGGGATTGGGAGATAATGATATTGTTTTTCTGATTTTTTTTCACTTAATTTTGTATACGGGTGAGTAGGTGCTGCCTGGATGACGTGAAGAACCTCTGGGTTAAAATATGAAGGCAAAAGGGAATATGCATATTATCACTAGTTGCATGACAGGTTAATGGCTTTTGGTCCCTTGGTTATATTAGATAAGTCAGAGCAATGGCATCCAAAAAATCTTGTTCTGGGTGCAGTCATCCAATTCTGTAGTTGATGCTCTAGCCAGGATGGTGTAAGGAAGGGTTATGTTTGGTTTTGCTTCCCCTAAATTTCAGTAGTTATATGTATTAGTTAAGAATTGCATGTTATTGGCATTCTCATGAGTCTGCATGCTATCTGTGGCTATGAGGTTATTGGCTATCTGTGGCTATGAGGTTATTTGAGAGTGCACCACTGAATGAGGAAATGGTTTTCACATTTGATTGCTTGTTTCAACTTTTTCATTTAGTGAGGTTCAGACGTCATTAATGATTGTATTGGAGTTTGTTTTATGTTTGAATTGTTGTCATTTAGTTTGGCAGGATACATCATACCCTGCAACCATGACGTATGAGGTTTGGTTCCCGCTCAAACAAAATGTCATTTGAAAGCTTGGCGTGCTTAAAAGTCCTCTCTCAAACATTATACCTCCTACTTATTTTTCCTTCCTCTCCATCAGGCTACTATGCTTGTAGATTTGGAACATGGCAGCATACGATTATCAAACAAGATTTCAGATCTGGGATGCACCATATTGTACCGAGGAGGTGGGCTTCTCGAGCTGCTGCAGTGGAGAATGACAGTAAGATCAGCATTGGACCACATAAAGGTAGAGAAGCAGGAGATGGCAAGGACACTGGGATTGTTTATTATGGCCCAATCTCGTCTACCATAAAAAAAGTGAAGCTTCTCTCTCTTTCCACCTGCTGTTTATCTGTGTCACTAGGACCTGTCATAACATTCATGACTGCACCTGACATGAATGTAATTCTCAAGGGTGCTGTTGCGTCTTCTGTCATATTTCTAGGTGCTTCCACCACAGCAGCGCTTCACTGGTTTGTAAGCCCTTACATTCACAAACTCAGATGGCAACCTGGTTCCGACAGTTTTGAGGTTGAGATGATGTCTTGGTTGGCTACATATATACCAAGAACAATCAGGTTTGCTGATGTTAGGCCACCAGAAACCAACAGGCCTTTTGTGACGTTCAAAGCAAACGGAAATTTTTACTTTGTTGATACTGAGCACTGTCATAACAAGGCTCTCTTGGCTAAGTTGACGCCCAAGAAAACAACTTATGAATCTGCATTTAAGAATTTATGAGAGGTCATTTTTTGTTAATTTTGCTAAAGCAGTTTGTTGACATTATATTTTATCTGAGCTTATTTAGGATTATAGTGGACCATTGGTGCCTTGTCGTGTTTATATTTCGTCATTTTATGTCACAAATGTGAAAAACAATACCAAACAATTATCAAGGAGCTTTACCCATCACCAAAGAAATCTAAACAATATCTTGCGAATACAACCAACACTTTCGACACCTGGGGCCTGCTTTTCATATTTCTGTTGATCGGCATGAAAAATGGACCAGGTAAGATTCCTGGCCTGCATCTACCATCTAGCATGGTTTCCGAGCGAAATGTTGATTTCATTAAAAAAGAAAAAAATCCAGGGCCGGGATTCTCCAGATATCAGGTTAATCAAAACCGAGTCCTGACAATTTAGTGCTGAGAACGAGCTTCATGAATGTTTACGCAGATGAAATCCGCTACCTGCCATTAATATTTATTGCACTAAGGATTGCCTTATATAGCAAATTCTGGAAGAAATGGGTGGAGCCTAAAAATCGAAAGCTCCTGTTCTGCATTGGTCAGGAATGCCTTGTATGGAAATTTTTGTAATGACATTCGAGAGATGACAACACAATTTCACTCCCCCCCCCCTTTCAACTACCCTTGCAACAGGGTGGTTTCCATTATTACGAGTCGCCACCGGAACGATTAACCGACAAGCATCACAATAACCATTATAAAATAAAGGTCCAATTCCATTCCATGAGGCAGCATGGGCATTAAATTCGTCGATACTCGAACTCGATACCAAAGGGTAACAATTGCCATAAAATCGAACAAAAATTGGATGAGTATAAGATAAATTATAAATAACAAAGAAAAGAGAATATGACAAATTGGAAATGGAATCATTCAGACATATATTGCAAGAAACCAAGATGATAAATAGTGAAAATATATTAGAAAAGAAAATGTCGGCTACTCTGGATTTCACCCTAAAAACTCCAGAGCTGCGGAGAAAATTGGAAATGTGTCTCAAATGTAAAAAACAAAAAGGAGCAGACGGTCGACACTCATCAAATGCATGTGAAGATACCCTCCTGCCACTACTTCTTAAGCACCTAAATTTTGGGACTTGCAAAGAAGAAATGACAAAATTATTACCACTAATACGACTAACGAAACATCCATTACCGACACTACTAACAAGTATGAAGATTTGAGATAGGGCATAGTAAACAACAGACCCAATGCGAATCACACATTTCACTTAGCTCCCTTCTTGGCAGCAGACTTGGTGACCTTAGCACCAGATGCGTCCTTCTTGTCCACGGCCTTGATGACTCCGACAGCAACGGTCTGACGCATGTCCCTCACGGCAAAACGACCAAGAGGGGGGTACTCAGAGAAGGTCTCCACCACCATCGGCTTTGTGGGAATCATCTTAACAAATCCAGCATCACC